GGAGTTTCATTTGGCGCCCCCTGGTGACAAGGAAGGGGAAGTCAGTATAGACCCTCCCATGACAGCCCGAGGTCCCAGGTGACGCCCTCTTCTGTTGCCAGCTGCCCACTAGCCTTCCCCTTGCCCCCCGCCCACATCCAGGGGCTGTTCAGACTTACCCTGACCACCCTGCGGGGTCCCTCCTGGCCCGACGGCCACCCCAGGGACTAGACTGTGGCCCGCTCATCCCTGGGTGCTGCAGGCGGGGGGACCGGCCTGGCCTTGGCTCCCGGATGGCTGAGCAGCTGCTGAACACTTCCTGAATCCCTTCCTCCAATTGTGACTGAGGTCCCACGAGCTGCTGGGCCGCCTGCTTCCCCCCGCCCCCACCTCGGGACTGCATTTACTACCACCCTGACACACACGCAAGGCATCAGCCCGCCCCTCCTATCGGCTCCTCTACTAGGAAGAATTTGAAGGATGACCGCCCAGACCCAGGCCACTAAGTGTGGCCAGAGGAGCTCTGGCCCTCACTACTGCCCCTTCCTCCTCCCCTCCCCACCCCCCCACCACTTGCACAAGGAAACGGGGTTCTTTTACTTATCCGAGGAGACATCTCGGAGTAGTGAGAAACTAGATGCCAGGTACTGGATACAGCTAGGCATTCTCTCGTGCCCGCCCCCATTTCACAGATAAAATCGCTGACAAACCTACAAGTTAACTGACCTGCCTGCGGTCCACTGCCAGTTAGGAACCAGACCAGTGAACTAATCGGTCAAGGGGGGCTTTCCCTCTCTCCACTCCCAGCTAAGGGTTCCTCCTGGGAATGGGGAGACCCAGAGCTGTCACTCATCCTGCAGTGTGACTCATGGCTGCAAAGGCCCAGAGGTGGAGGGCTGGCTCTCAGTCCTTTTCAATTTCTCCAAGTCCCGGGGGAACTTTCCTTAGTGCCTCTTATGTGAGGACACTGCCTCTTCACAGAAAGGGGGGTGGGGGGACTTTGAAGCAAAGGATGTACTACTTTCAGTTTCTGACTCCTTCCATTTTCTAAGAGGCTTGGCCTCTGCGGATCCTGGGGTCCTCCTTCACTTGGTCACAGGAGGGCCATGGAGTCCACTGAGGGTGGGGACAGGGGCTTATGTTTCCGACCAGGCTGTGTATCCACTGGGGTAACCAGGAGCAGAGAAGAAGCTCGATGAACCAGTCTTTGGTGCTTGTAGCTTCAGATTGAATTACCAAGATCAAACTACTAGTTAATTCAGGGGGGGCGGGAGGTGCACCAGGATGACTGTACTTCAGTCTCGGTTATATGTTCCCTTGATTTCTCATTAGGCCGGACTTTGGGAGGATCCGCAGCTGTAGTAGGTGTGAGTGGTGCAGCACTTTAAAATGAGAGTAAGTGATCATTGCACAATCCTCTACCTTCTGCCTTGAATAGGTTTCCATGTCAGTTTCAGAGATTTGGGAGCAATACGTGGATCTCCTTTGATTCACCTATAAATTTAGTGTGGGCCAAAGAGCTTTACGTTGCCAAGGATTTCATTTTATTTGGATCTACTGTCAAGCCCAGGGGAGCAGCAGTCAAGATATCAAACAGTTTATCGCACCAGGCGAATCTGCTGCAAAAGACTTCTTTAAAATATGAGAAAACAAAGAGGTCCCTCTGAGGACGGAGGTTGAGGACCTGAGCCGGGCATGTTGGGTGCCTTGAGTTGCATGCACAAGCGAGACCCGAAATAAGGAAGACCGGAGAACAATGGATGCATTTGAACTATAACGTTGGCAAAGAAAAGGGAATATGCCATGCACTGCCGGAAGAATGAACAAGTCTATTGTGGAAGAAGTACAGCCAGAAGGCCCTTTAAAGTTGAGGATGGAGAGACTTCCTGTCATGTACTTTGGATCTGGTATCGGGTGGGATCTGTCCCTGGAGAAGGAAAACAGGCTTGGTAAAAGCCAAAGGGTGTGGGAAACTAACACTGAGGGAAACATGACAAGGACTATATTCCCTAATTTATAGCAGAGGGAATCTGGAACGTGAATATTGCACAGTAGGAAAGCCTCCACTTTGGTAAGTTAGAGGTAAAGTCCACGTACATTATCCTGCTTTAAATATCATTCCCACAGATTCTCCCTAACAGCTGTGCTGCCTTAACGTGAGCACATGGTGGATTTTATCTCCCTACGGAAGCAGGCATCCCGTTGCCATCTCTTCCCGCCATGTCACCCAGCCCCGTCATGCCTTCCCCCAAGGCAGGTATTGGGATTCCTCACCTGTGAGCTCAGGGATCTTAATGAAGACACCACTCACCTTGTGACGCATGGAACTACTGCATATGCATGTCTGGTGGCTTCCTATAAATGTCCCAAGACAGTACACGGGCTCTCTTCTCCCAGCTCCATGTGTCTGACTCCTTTATTTTACTCTCTCTCCTATCTTTCTTATCCTCTACAACTTTACTATAATCTTCATATATTGTTGCCGTACAATTACACCTGCTGGCCCTTCAGTTGTTGGAGCCTGGCTTGCTCTGACACAAGGAGATCCTCAAGGAGCTGTGTCGGCACAATGGTTGCAACAAAGGATGCTAACCTGGCAGCCGTGGTGGGCAATGTGTCTTTCACTTGTCCAGGGCCTTGTTGTAAGTCATCACAGCCTCGGAGGCACCTGCTTCCTTAGAGGGTCATTCTGGAGCATGAACAAACCCCAGGGAAGTCAGGAAAGCCAGCAGATGAGAAGTGAGGGTGTCAGGAGGCCCCCTCAAGTTTGTGACTAGAGTCTGAAGCTTAGGCAGACTTAGCAATGTGGAGGACTGCCCCCCCCTTCCATTTTCCTAACTCAGGGGGTTCGGGTCAGAGGACGAGTGCTGCATGTACACCTGAATTAAATAGGACTGCACTGGATGTATCTGATTACTTATGATATGCTTATGCTAGGTATGTAGTCTTTGGATGGAGACTGTGTAGCTTCAAGAGAGGACAAGCACAGACTGGTCTTCCAGACCTCACCATGGTGGTCTGTGATGTGGGAAGAGAGAGTGGGGGACACCTGATGAATATATCGTTCCCCAACCCCGGGCTGGGGTGAGAGCACAAGCACCCTCCATGAGAGGCCCCCTCCTGATGTTTTGAGAGTCCCACTGCTGTAGCTGGTGTCTCTCAAAACACTCACTGTCATTCTGGCTCACAGCAGCCCTATAAGACAGGGTAGAACTGCCTCTGTGAATTTCCAAGACTGTCACTCTTCATGGGAATAGAAAGTCTCGTCTTTCTCCCACAGAGCGCCTGGTGGCTTCGAACCGCTGAGCTTTCTGGTAGCAGCCCAATGTGTAACCGTTATGCTACCATGGCTCTTCCTATAACCTCCAGCACCGGTTATCCCATCATGTTTTCTTTCTTTCAGAGAGCATGAGTCTCTGAGCATCCTTCCGGTTCCCTTCTCAAGCACGTGTGCTGCGGTCCTGCCCTCAGAGGAAGGGAGCCTCCATCGGGTCCCAGACTGTTTGGGACAGGAGCACTTTCGCTTCACCACCAATTTCTGAGGAACAAGGAAGGGCGTGGTCTGTGCTCCAACCAAAGTATGGAGAGAATAACAATCATCGCTATTGGCCAGAGGAGGCAGCAATGGGCTTCTTCTTTTTTTTTTTTTTAGGCAAAGACACAGAGTGCAGAAGATACTGAGTACTTTCTAGGGCCAATGACTGGCACAGTGTGGGTAAGACAGACGGCAGGGGCCTTGGACTGCAGGCACGAGGCAGAGACTTTAACTCAAGGGCACTGAGACATTTGAGCACAGCCCCAGGCTGTCATGTGGAAATACTGCAGAAATGAGCGGGGGCAGTAGGCAGAGACACAGCCCAGACCCTGCTCAGCAAGGCTCAGATCAACCATGTGAAGTGGACACAGATGGAAGTCCTGGAACTCCGAGCTTCCCCAGAAAGGACAAAGAACAGAAATGTGGGTGAAGGGAGACAAAGGACAGTGTCAGATATGAAATAATAATAAAAATAATATATAATTGATCGAGGGTTCACGAGGGTGGTGGGGTGGGGGAGGGAAGGGAAAAAGGAGGAGCGGATATCAAGAGCTCAGGTAGAAAATGTTTTGGAAATGATGATGGCAGCACATGGGCAATAGGCTTGATACAATTGATGCATGAAATGTTTTGAGAGTTGTAAGTGCCCCCAATAAAGTGACTTTAAGAAATGAAAGGATAAAGAAGCAGATACCAATTAGAGGAGAAAACTTTAAAAACCAGTGGGCAAGGACGGATATAGAGTAGTGAATTAGCCGCAGGCCCATTTTGAATGATTGCAAACAGCATTGAAATCAGCACAGGAACCAGGTACCAGGCTCTGCTGGGCCAGGACTGCACTGCACCCGGGTCAGTGATCCCCCATCTCCCACCTGCCTACCTACCCAACCTCCCAGGGACCAAAGACAGCATCCTCCACTTCCCCCACCCAGCAGGTGGTCACCACGGCTGCCCATCCCTCCATATGCTCCCCTGCTGTGATGCTTTTTTTTTTAGTTTGTCCTTCTTCTCCCAATTGCCTTTCCTGTTTTTCTCTTCTGCTCA